TGAATATCTCGGTCGAGTTCGAAGATGAGAAGAATCCCTCAAGAAATGGTTGAGTTATCGAAAAAATTGTCATTTTTGACCAGGCCATCCCTGAGGAGGAGTACAGGGAATTTTTTTCAAAAAATAAATCTTTCTCAGAATTATTCACAACATATATAAATCGACTCAGTTTTTAACGCTGATTCCGAATCTGATATTAGTTTTGAGCTAAACCGTAGCTTTCTGATGAAACATCGCCTGAAAAACGTCTCAAAATGCACAAAAACTGCATCCAGAAATCAAATTGCCTAGTTTCTCATGATAATTTTGGTGTTCAGACATTCTAGAATGACTCATACATCCCATGCACTTTTTGCAGTACACATAACTTTCGGATGAAATCCGAAGTTTCCACATTTATTTAAATTCAGTTAGAGAATGAATCAGGATTAACAATAATTATTTTCATTGAAGTAGCATGATTAAATCTAAACAAAGAATATCAATCATCATTAATCTCACAGGGAGATACAGCACGTATTATTAATTGTGAAATATTGCTGTGAGACAATGCCATTGCTATGAAAACTTTTGTATCAAAAGATAATATTTCGGATATTTCTTCAGGTAAATCAATTAAAAGTTTTTAAATTTCCATACAATGAAAAAAAGAGTCTATATTATATGTTTAGCAACGAATACGATATGTACGAACCTAAAACTTTAACAAAGTGAGATGAATTGGAATAAAGCCTATTTATCACTGCTCTATCACCCGTGTGCATACAAAGAGCCAGATTAATTTATTGTAGCTTGGTACATACTGGAGTATGCTGTTTACTTATGATTATAGCTTGTCATATTTTTTATTTGTTTCTTTTTGCGTTGGTTCTCCATCGCACGCATTTTCCGTTCTTGAAAAATCTGTTATACGCCTATTGTTATTCATATCATTAAAAAATGTATCTTCTATTAGTTTACTCTCAAGTAATTTGCCATTGTCTTTTTCTTCTACTTGACATGTTATCGCTATTGCATAAGATTTGCCTTACATTCCAAAAAAAGGAAATCTGAATAGACACACGTACTAATAGGCTAAGTGTCATAGAGGAAAGAAACGGAAATATTTTCTTGAGATCTATTAATTGAATAAATAGTTCATTACTTTAACTGAGTGAATATTATAGTTGCTACGAGAACTTAAGATAATGACAAAATGGAAAGAAGACAAGTCATGAAAATAGTGTTTGATGGCCGGAAAAACATTTTCTTGTTGGCATCAGTTTTACTCTCTAATGATTTTAATGGTTGTGTAAAGTAACAATTTTACAAAATCAATTGATCTTTACTGGCAAGCATGGCTTTCAAATAAAAGACATCAAAATCATGTCTTTATTCGTGTATAAAAATTACAATAAACCAGTCACCAAGAGTCTCGCTAGTAAATAAACATTAAATGGTTCTGTGCATTTTTATTTAAAATAGACCTTGGTAAATGTTGATTGAAGATATCAATAGAATTTAATGTACCGGAAGTAGAATTAATAAAATTAGCTTTTCCGTTCGAGGGGAAAGTAGATACATTTAGGACTTTATATGAATTTATACTGTTAATATTGCTTTTTTAGAGATACATAAAGTGCATAATATTTCTACTGATTCAAAAAAACAGAAAAGTGTTGATAAAATATTTAGTCGCATATCTTTAATTGATTTATCTTAATAAATTTTCATTAGCACCATCATTATTTTGTATGTAATGACCTTAGATTATTTTGTCTCTTTATATTTTCTTGTAATTACAAAAACTAAAGACAACAAGATGACAATACTCTGCTATATAGAAATATTTATAGTTGAATCAGTATACTTTTTTTAAAGCAGGGCTCATAAGAAATCTCACACACCCAGGATTAGTAATTTAAACTCGTACTCTTCTCGGTTATATGATAGACATCTGAGCAGAAGCGGCTTATCATAGATGTGAAAGATGCTCGCTGTATGTGCTACTGACTTGGTATCGGTAATGACTCTTCTAATAGATAAATTACTTCCTGAAATATAATAATTAATAAAAATAAACATCATTGTCCCAAAATAAATACAATAAAGTAACTTTTCTGTAATCGGCAACAATAATTACAGGATAATCTAAATTTTAATTTTAGAATGATTACGCTCATAGCAATTTTTGTAATCTGTACGATGTTTTCCAGATTTCATAATATTATTACAAGACATATATATTGGAACTTCATCGAATTATTGATGAGAAAAATATAATTTCTCTAATTGTTCTCTTATTTAAATACATCGAAATATGACTAAAACTTATGACATCTGACATATTAAACCCGCGATCTCTTTATTTATCATCACTCAACACAATGAAGCTCCACTGGATCGATTGTTTATCAGCAATGAAGCGCAAACAAATTTATTTTTCGTCATAGCCATACACAATTAATCCATGAAAAGATATAAATAAACCATATAAACTTAGTGTCAGTATTGCAGTTACAGTACTCAAAATATTTAAGGACAACTCACTAAGCTGTCAACTTCGATTTACAGAAATAGAAGCATAATCCAAAATTCATACAAATAATAACTTCATGTGGCTATTTTAATTAAGAGTTCTACACAACTAAAAGAAAAAATCTAACAACTATGGTTCCACTGATATCGAATAAAAAAATGAAATTGACCTGGACTGCGATTCGACCTATATTTCCTATATTTTCAAAAAAAGTCCTATTTTTGTCCTATATTCTCCTATATTTTATCGAAAAAAGTAGAAAATTTCCGAAAACCTCTTAATTTTGCTATGGTCTTTAGACGAAAAAAAAGACTTTTAATGTGTGTAATCATGTGTTTTGGACAAATTGTTGTATTATAGTGACATTTGTGTTAAACGATATTTTTTCTTTCGCCTATTTAGTGGGCTGACTGAGAAATTGTTTAATACTAAGCACAAAATAGTTCAAAAGAAAAAAATATTCACAAAGTGGTCATGTAATAGTTTAGTTTCGAGTTTTTAGTGAAGTTTTAGTTAGATATAAAAGCTGTATATATATATATGTCGTAGGATAGATTAAAATCCAGTACAGTTTTAAATCGAACTAGGACAGATTAAAATTTTAATTTTTCCTAATTCAGATTAAAATTTTAAAGTGAACTAGTTGACTTCGAAATGCATTTTAATCTCAACTAGTTGACTTTAAAATTTTGATCTGAACTAGGAAAAATCAAAATATTTTAAACTGAACTAGAACAGTTTCAAATATTTTGATCTGAACCAGGACAGATTAAAATATTTTGATTTGAACTAGTTCAGATTGAAATATACACATTTGGATGGATAATAGGTGAAAGTGAAGGCGAGCGCGAGGACGCGGGTAATAGTTCCATCTTCACTCATCATCATTCACCATAGACCCTTGTCGTCACCCCAACGCGTATCTTCAACCAGCCAGCCACGGATAATTTGACTAAACATTTTAATGTGTCCTAGTTCAGATCAAAATTTTAAAGTCAACTAGTTGAGATTAAAATGCATTTCGAAGTCAACTAGTTCACTTTAAAATTTTAATCTGAACTAGGAAAAATTAAAATTTTAATCTGTCCTAGTTCGATTTAAAACTGTACTGGATTTTAATCTATCCTACGACATATATACCCCTGGAAAAATAAGCTTCACTCTGTATTTTGAGGATATTGTTACCAAAAGAACACCTTCTTTTAAAAAATAACGACATATTCTGAAAGCCCGTGAAATTTTACGCCACCCTGTATATATGCATTTTCATTTACAATTATTTATTATCAGGAAAAATTGAGTTATGATAAAATACAAAATAAACTTGTGGAAAATAATAAGCGATGAATGCTGATTATCAGGAGAATAAAATTAGGTTGAAATTTTTTGGGAAGTCATGTCCGTAATCTGAAACGTCTCCTTTAATTATGAGAAATAGTATGTCGTTTTCATGTATTTGTTTTTTCAAAACTTATGATCTACGTTATTGTTATTTTTCGATTTGTGAAAAACTTTTATAATGATCCTCGAATTAGCGACTGATTTCAGTAGAAAAAATTACATAAGGATCTTGGCTACGGTTGAACTGTTTATAACAGCGTCATTAAGACGATTTTCAAGCAGAGCAGTTAAAAAACACCAAAACAATTGAACAGAAACGGTCTATAAAACGTCCTCCCCTTTTGCCATTTTTTTATCGAAAATCCTATATTCTTGGCAACATTGATCCTCTAAGGATTCCTATATTTTTAAAAAAGTGTAATCGAAGACCAGAAATTGACTTTCCGATGACTTCTAAAATTTGGATATATATGAATATTCATATTCTAAATTTGTTGCCATTCATATTATTACCGACTCGACCATACAAGTGTTACAAATGAAAATAATAATGTTAATTCTGCACAAGCACCGGATTATAAGTACGAAATCATGCGTAGTGTTTTTTTTCTGTTCTGATAAATTTCATTGGCGACCGTTCTTTCCAATAGCACTCCGTTAGCAATGCACCTACCATAATCACAAAAAATAACGTGTTTTTCTTGTTGTATCTCATCAGGAATATTTACAGAATGAAAAAAGAAAATCTAGAAAAGAAAAATGAGGAAAAAAGAAGAAGAAAACCAAAAAAATGCTCAGTGTTGTGCATAGTGTTGGTAAGTATTAAGATCCGTAACAACTACACTTTTCCACTTTGAATGCACATATAATTATTAAAAAAACAAGATTCGATTTTGATTCAAAGAAAATATATACTATAACTTATACTTTAATAATATTATTTTCTTTCTTTGTTATCGACGAACTGAACACTTTTCAGATAAAAACCTCTATAAGATAAGATATCATCGATTATTCAGTGTTTCATCCATGCCATAGCTCTTATGTTAAAATGACCTTGGTGAGAAATTGAAACCATTTTTTATACATATTTATCCATTACAAATAAGTGAAATTTTTAATCTACTGAATTCGATTAATAATGAGCTTCAAACGGCCTCTGCCTATATCGCCAGTACGTCAACGGATTATCAAAACTTGCATTGAATCCAATAAAAATAATAATACCTGTCAAGTATGTGGTGATAAAGCACATATTTTTAATTACGGAGCTTTATCATGCGCATCTTGTAAAACATTCTTTCGTCGTCACGGTTTTCATCCTGAAGTTTGTATATCATATTGAATATTTACAACAACACAAACCGAACTATTGAAACTTTCTCGTTTCATTTAGAGTATTCCTCAATGTGATTTTCATGGAAATTGTGAAATAACACTACAGTCGAGAAGAATGTGTACGGCGTGTCGCTTTTCAAAATGTCTGGCAGTTGGAATGAGTCCAGATTTTATTCGAAAAGAAGATCTTACTGGCAAAAGTCGTTCAATAGTAAAATTAAAACCACAATATCAACAAATGGCTACTCCGAAATTATCTACCGTATGCAAATCAAGAAGAACATGTTCTAATTTATTGGAGAAAAAATTTATTATAGATATTGCATAGTTTAAGATTTATTCAGTATGATCAGTCATGACTAATAATCATAATAATTAATTGAACAAGTACACAGAATGAGCAGATAGGATTGGCAAAGTATTTGAGATGTACTCATAAAAGTAGGCGAATTTCGAGATAATATTGAAAGTTAACTATCTACGTACAATCATTTTTAAATTAGACAATTTTCACAAAGAAATCAATGAATAGCTTTGGTAGAAAAAGATTGTTGATAGTACGGATACATCATAGCAGATTCATAATAAGTATTCAAGTTATGCAGATGAGGTGCACAGTTCTTAAATAAATCAGGTGAAGCTGATACTATTTTTTTCTCTTTTATTGAAATTCAGTAGAAATCGAAACGGTCAACATAAAGCAGAAGTGATTATAAGTTCCAGAGAAAATTGCTTTCTCTATTAGTACTTGATGCAAAAGTCGAACAAAGACTTCAAATCAATAAAGTTTGTCTGTTCTTTCTATAAATACGTGTCATTTGTACGATAAAAGTGTAGTGAAAAGAAGCAAACGTCAGAGATAAGTGAATCGTACTGTAACATAGATATATGTGAAAATATGTATCTGGATGTGTTAGATGCTTCACATAACACATAGTGAGAATAAAAAATAATAGTATTCAGTTCAAAAGCAAGTAAGCATACATCTCATCTACTGAAATCCAGGTGAAGCTCAAGCCTCTTGGGTCAATATTTCTTGAGGGCGAATTTTATAAATTTCTCATTGTAGCAGTGGCGGCGGAGTCACTGAGACCTATGAGGCTTGAGCCTCGCCTAGGTTTCACAAGATGAGGCTCAGCCTCACTTACTTGTGTACGGAATATTGTTATTTTTTATTCGTGCACCAAAGCAGGAGCAAAAAAAGTATTTTTTGGTATTTTCCAATCATCTTTTAATACTGACCATTTTTATTTTTACTGTAGTTCAATAAAAAGAAGACTTATTTTCTGCTTGGTGCGTTCATAAAATTCCACGGTAGAAAAAAAATATTATGAGTCTCACCTAGCTTAATGGCGCTCCGCTGCCCCAGCATTGTAGATTCCAATAAATAAAATTCTAAAATATTCTTGTAAGAGCCAAAAGAAAATGATTTATAATTTTAGTTTAATGGAATAATTGCACCATTAAATCTTCTATCTAATGACATATCTCCTCTAAGTCCAGCAAATTGGGTATTATTATCAAATGTGATTCATGCATACGACTCATTCAGTCCCATATCTGAATTACGGCATACTATTGAGTTTCTTACTAAAAGTTCAATGAGTGTTGAACATAAACTCGAAGAATCCCGAAATATGGTTAGTTTAATGTCTCAAACGTTTCAATTATCCGTTAGTGCTACTGCTGATTTTCGAATCATGACAACTGATGAACAATGTTCTCTTCTTAAACGAAATATGCGTGGTATTTGGGCGTTTCACTCGATGGTTATGTGTCACCAATGTAATCTATTTGATAGTATACCAAACAAAAACATTATGGTACCTCTATACGGATTGGAAAACGTTGAACGTGTAAGAGTTATGAGCTTACGACTTGATCCTGATGAAACAATTGTTAAACTTATACTTATGGTATTAAGTTTTTCTTCGAATTGTTTTACAGTAAGCACTGATCACATGGCGTACAGAGACAACTTATTGATGGGTACTTTTCGTCTATTTGGAAGTCAAAATGCATATATTGAAGTCATGTGGAAATATATGTTGTATCGATATGGATATTTTGAATCTGCAAAACGTTTTTCTGCGCTTATTAAGCTAATGCTCGATGAAATGACTCTCGCATCAAATATCTACGACGACAATGAAGTTCATAAAGACTTATCAAATAAAATTATTAACGAACTCGAACGGTCATTATCAATTGATGGTAGTGAAAGCATTCCATTATGGGGTAAAATCGAACCTTGAGACAAGGCGAGATTTGCTCTTTTAGTATGTGATTTTTTTTAATACTGAAATGAAGCATTCTAGCATATACATATTTAAACCAAATTTTCTCAGCTGTGATCGAAGAAGATTTATTGAAATAAATATCCGTACAAAATTGATGATTTTTTAGCTTACATATATGTAATTAATCGTGGCAAGGTTATAAATGTCAATCAATCTTTAGCTCAAATACACAATTCGCCTCGAAAATATTTTTGTATATACTTGAAAAATGAATATTTGTTTATCTATCTGTAAAAATTATATCAAACGTTGATAATAATAAAAATTTCATCACAAGAGCAGATTTTAAATCTACTAAATACTTATGATAAACATAATCTTACAACAATCATAGTTACAGATTCAGGTGATAGATACTGTAACGTTGTTTTTGTTCTGATGTTGTGCATATTTTTAAAATAAAGAAATTTGCTCTTTGTATGAGTCAAAAATTGAAGAACGTCGGTGCAGCAACCTTACTTTTTGTTACAATAATAAAAAAACAACTTGTACGATTAAATGAAGTTCTTTATTTATCACAATTAATTGTACGAATTGATGGAACCCTATGGCTTGATGTTTGAATAATTACGATAAATAGTAACCATATACATAACGGGTGCCCCATAACTAATGGCCAGTTTTCTATTTAATACTTTAATGTCTAAATATATTTTATTAAAACATAGAATACACCAAAAGATACAGCGTTAAAACTCTACAATCCACAAATTAAAGCTTATATAACACATGATGCAGCTTGAAAAGTTGTACAAATCAAAATAAAGGGTCATGTAGTGTTTTCGTAATAAGTGAAATTATGTAGGATCGGTTTTCGACGTTGCAAGTGGCACATTTTCTTCTAGATGAAACTAAGCTTCCATTTTTTCCTTATTTCTTAAAAGAAAACAGAATATACGTCAGAGTGTAGCGTTAAAAGCTGTATAATCTAGAAAGCTAACTTTGTTCTTTCTTTTTTAAAGCAAATAAAGTTCTATGTGAACAACTCTCGCAGCGTCGAAAATCAATTGGAGAGAATTTCGTCGGTTTTCGAAGCAAAAAATGGCAAAATTAAAATAAGCTTTTCAAGCTACATCTTGTGGTATTCTGTTTTTAATAGAACATATTTATAGATTAAAATATTAAATAGAAAAATCGGCCATTTATTATGAGGCACCCGTTATATATATATATTTATTCTATAAAGCATTACATTGCTTTATTTTGTATTTCATTGTTGCTTAGCATTGAAACTCTGGCGAATTTGACATTTATACTTGTCATTGATTTCCTTCAAGATAAAAGCGCGTTCTTTCACACTACGTTTTCATGTCCTACATAGGTAGCGTAGTGTAAATAAAACAAATTCACACGTGACTCTTAATCAAGTAACACTTGACTATTGTGCAATAACATATTTTGATCACCTTCATTATCTTCTCCATGGACCAGGCAAATTTCAGCGACGTCGAATTTTCTTCAGTCAAAAACATGGAATGTTGGTAAAATTCAAGATCAAAATTTCGAAAATGTTTTAGTCAATGCATGGTATTTTGGCAAATTAGCCCTTTTCTTTAAAGTTTGATCGAAAATTTTTGGGGATCGAGAAATCGAATTGATTCATCACATTTTTTGAAATTTTGAAGCTTACTGGAAATGGAGAAGTACGCATTACCTCCTTAATTGTGTGTAAAAAGTCGAAAATACAATATGATGAAGTTCTACTAAAAATATTTGACTAATGTATCATATCAAATATATGTCGATTTGAATAAAAGGACTATCAAGATCAATATGGTCGGTAAGAGGCATTATTGCTTGAAAAATCGCGGGTCCGATTTGAGCATTTAAACATGTTTTTTCAAATTTGTTGTTTGCTTGAGTGATAAAGTTATATATACAGGGTGTTTCAAAAGTCCCCGAGAAAAGTTTTCGTAAATATCTCCTATACAACTCAAGCGATTTAATCTTTTTTTGAATAAAATAATAGTGTATTCTTTTAAGTTTTATTTCATATAATTTGGTATATAACAAATGTTCAAAATGACTACCATCAACTGAAATACATAAATTCATCCGTTTTGAAATATTTGAAAAAACATTATACAAAATTTCTTTTGAAATTGATTTTATTTCGGTTTCGATTCTTCTTTTTAATTCAGCTATATCTTTGATAGGAGTTTTGTAGATATTGTTCTTTATATGCCCCCACCCTCACCCCCACAGAAAAAAGGCAAGTGGTGTTAAATCAGGTGACCGTGGAGCCCATCGAATTGAACCACCTCTGCCAATCCACCTTCCAGGAAAATGATCATTCAAACAACGTCGTACATCAATAGAGAAATGAGGAGAAGCTCCATCCTGTTGAAATATAGCTGAACGAAACTTGTGTAATTTTCTAATCTCTGGAATAAAAAACGTTTCAAGCATTAATAAATAATTTGCCACATTAACAGTATCATCTTCAAAGAAATATGGTCCTAACAATTTATTTTTTGACATAGCACACCAAACATTAAGTTTAGGTGAGTTCATAACGGTTTCGATGGTAACATGCGGATTAGTTTCAGACTAATATCTGATGTTGTGTTTGCTAACTAGTTCACTCACATAAAATGTTGCTTCATCCGGAAAGGATAAATTTTCTTGCATATGACTATCTTCTAACATCGGTATTAAAGTTTTACACATTTCAACCCTATCTTGTAAATCTTCTTCATAAAGTTGTTGTACAAACTGCACCTTATAAGGCTTTAATGCTAGATATTCAGTCATGATTCGATGTGTTGCTGTTGGTGGAATAGAACAGTCTGTTGCAACAGATCGAACACTGGATTGTGGTTTATCTTTCAGAGTATCACTAACTTTGTCGATGGTTTTTTCTGAAATGCTTGAAGGTCGCCCAGACCGTTCTCGATCTTCCACTGTACCGGTCTCACAAAAACCGTTCAAATGTATCTTTAATACATGTTAAACCTGGTGTATTTATTCCAAACTCGGCCCTTAATTTTCGTTGAACAACTGTAGCCGAGTCAAATTTGGCCATTAATAAAGCTATTTTTATTCTAATATTTTAGGCACAGACATTTATCTGAAAGTATATAGAACAAAATTAGAAAGAGTATACTATAATATTATAAAAGAAAGATATAGATCGTTTGAGTCGTATAGAAGATATTTATGAAAACTTTTCTCGGGGACTTTTGGAACACCCTGTATGTACCCTTAATGTGGATGCCGGGGAAGCAGTAGTGTCAGAGCAATAACGTCAAACCTGAAAGTTGAAACTTGAAGTTTCAGCTGAATTCAAGTTTCAAGTTTGACACTACTGAATATGTCCGTAGCCAAAACACGGTGGTTCCGCACATATATACCTAGGATGTATTGGAATCCAATTCTAGTCATTAGGATCGAAGAATCAATTAGAATCTCAGTAGCCTGATCCGTCGTTTCTCTCATTTTCATACACTCCGTAGTCTCTCTCAAAATCAACAGTATCAGAACCTGTTGTTTCACGTATATGTGAACGATCACAGGAATTAAAATTTTCCCGTTAACTACAGAAGTATCACACATCTTTACCAATGACATTGATCGTATGTTTGAGAAACACAGAAGTAGCAAAATTAAATGCGTTTCATCGAAAACATTGCATAAGTAGAATAAATCAAATCATATAATTACTGACGAGGCTATGGAAATCAAAGAGAAGTTGAGAAACTAAAAGAAATCAAGGCACTACATTTGTAAAATAATGATGTCACTGAAGCATCCAGAATTAGGACTCGCAACTGATGAAGTCATTAAAAAAATCACACGTTGATGAATAGATTATAGCTCTGTAAATGTGCACATATTCAAAGTTGACAATTCACTAGTTGCAAGTCAGCTGCCCAGGATATGCATTGTTGGTACCATTTGTACAACTTAAACAGGCTTGAGCTGAGACACCACCTGGAGTTGGTTGATAAGTTCCAGAAGGACAAATTTCAGCGCTGCTCGCTCCAGTTTCATCACAGTAATAGCCAGCAGGACAAATGTAGCAATTGATCTGCCCAGCTGACGGATTATAACTCCCAGTTGGACAACTCAAACATGATTGAGCCGTAAGAACATCCGTAAATGGTTGATAGGTCCCAGAAGGACATAATTTTACACTACTACTTCCATTTCCATTGCAATAAGCACCCGAACTGCAACCTGAGCAGCTGGGCAGTCCAGGCGATGGACTAAAATTGCCCACAGGACAAGTCAAACATGAATTAGCAGTGGCGCTGTCAGGTATTGGTTGATATGTTCCCGAAGGGCATGGTTGAATGTTGGTGGATCTAGTTCCACAATAATAACCAACAGGGCAACTGGAGCAACTCGATTGTCCAGGATTTGAATTGTAAGTGCCCCTGGGGCAACTCAAGCAAGCTTGAATCGACGCAGCACCGGGAATTGGCTGATAGGTTCCACTAGGGCACATTTTTACATTGCTTGCACCCGCTACATCACAATAATAACCAGTGGGACATCTCAAACAAATTGATTGTCCCGTTGATGGATTGTAGGTGCCAACAGGGCAGCTTAAACAAGTAGAGCTCGAAGTATTAGCCGTAAAACTTTGATAGGTCCCTGTGGGACAGGGTACTGTTATGTTGGGCCCAGATGCACAATAAATATAATAGTAATTAGGACAACTGTAGCAGGAAGACATTCCAGCACTTGTACTGTAAGTGCCATTTGGACAATTTAAGCAGGCTCGAACAGAGATAGCGCCTCCGCTTGGCTGATAAGTACCAGAAGGACATGATTGTGCATTGCTTGCTCCAGGCATGTTACAATAAGAACCTGCAGGACAACTCGAGCAAGATGACGCTCCAGAGTTTGGATTGTAAGTACCAAGAGAACAATTTAAGCAGGCTTGCACCGTACTACTTCCCACAAGTGGTTGATAAGTTCCTGTAGGACATGTTTGGAAGGTACTTGAATTACCCATACAGTAGCTACCGCTAGGGCAAATGGAGCAACTCGGTTGCCCAGTTCTCAGATTATAAGTACCGCTTGGGCATGGTAAACAAGCGCTAGCCAAAATACTACCTTCAATGGGCTGATAGGTTCCGGAGGGGCATGGTTCAGCATTGCTTGCACCTGCTGAACAATAGTAACCACTAGGGCAAGTGAGGCAATTTGGCTGTCCGATATTTGAAGCGTACGTGCCGTTGGGACACTTCAAACAAGCTTGAGCCGATGTGGCACCCATGATGGGCTGATAGGTTCCTGTAGGACAAGATTCCTGGCTGCTTGCACCAGCCTTGCAATAGTAGCCACTAGAGCAACTCGTACAAACCGATTGAGCAGTATTTTGATTGTAAGTACCAGCACGACAGTTGAGACATGCATTAGATGACGTGCTACCCGGTACTGGTTGATACGTTCCAGAAGGACATGGTTTTACGTTGTTTATCCCAGATCCATCGCAATAATAACCGATAGGGCATACTGAGCAGCTTAATTGTCCAGCCATTGTATTAGAAGTACCCGCATTACAATTCAAGCAAGCCTGAGCCGAGGAGCTGCTTGTGCTTGGCTGATAAGTTCCAATAGGGCACGGTGTTGGACTACTAGCACCCGAAGTACAATAAGAACCACTAGGGCAGACGGAGCAGCTCGATTGTCCGGTGTTGGGGTTATAAGTGCCGTTAGGGCATTGCAAACAACTTTGTATAGAGACGCGACCCCAAATTGGTTGATAGGTTCCTGCAGGACACGGGGTCGGGGTGCTTACACCAGATGCATTACAATAATAACCAATTGGACAATTGGAACAGATTGATGCTCCCGGGTAAGAACTGTAGGTACCTATAGGACATTGCAAACAAGCTTGAGCCGAAGAACTACCTGCAATTGGTTGGTAGCTTCTTGAAGGACATGCGCTTGTACTATTTGCTCCAGCTGGGCAGTAAAAACCAGTAGGACATGCATTACAGGTCGAAAATCCGTAGTATGAACTGTAAGTACCAGCAGTGCAATTTAAACAAGCCTGTATCGAGGTACCGCCTAGATTCGGTTGGTAGGTTCCTGGAGGGCATCCATTTATGGTGGTTGCTCCAGCCGGGCAATAATAACCAGCAGGACATGTATTACAGGTCGAAAATCCGTAGTATGAACTGTAAGTACCAGCAGTGCAATTTAAACAAGCCTGTATCGAGGTACCGCCTAGATTCGGTTGGTATGTTCCTGGAGGGCATCCGTTTGTTGTGGTTGCTCCAGCCGGACAATAGTAACCGGCAGGACATGTATAACAACTAGAAAGTCCGTAGTACGGACCGTAAGTACCGGCAGAGCAATTCAAACAAACTTGAACCGATGAATTGCCAATGGTTGTTTGATAGGTTCCGGGACCACATGATTGTGCATTACTTCCCATTGGTAACAATATGGCAAATAATCCGAACGGAAGCAAATATAGTAATAATCGTGCTATCATTTCGAATTTTTTATCTATAACATGAGAACAGAGGAGGACGTTTTCGTGTAAACCCCCTATCTGAATGAAAAAGTCTGTTTCGTACGGTGTGGTTTCATGGCCTGTAAAAAATATCGTAGAATAAGAAAACCCAGTACTTAAGAAAAATTTTCCTAAACCCTAAAAGGGTTTATGCTCGTATGCGAAATCCTAAAAGAGTTTGAGCTGAAGGGTTTCCGAGTCGAAGGGTATTTGAAAATAAAAAGGGTTTTTTATTCTAGCCTTGCACGAAAAAGGATTATTATTATACGGCCAAGCGTTTATTGTTCTACACTTTCATGAAAAGGGTTTATTATTCTACGGCGAATGGTTTATTGTTATACCTTGCCTCAGTTGATCAACTCAGAGATTTTTCAAGTCACAAAAAACAATTTCAAGTCAAACCAGATCCAAAATTTTTCAAAAAAGTCAAGTCAAGTCAAGTCAAGTCAGACTTGACATGACTTGCCCACCTCTGACCCTTGCACGAAAAGACCATTTATATTTGTTTAACAATCGGTACATATAAATTTCAACTTATGTATTTATATGGTTTACATTTCATCGAACGACTTTTTGAACAAAAACTAAGTATTAAATTTCAAAGAATTATATTTTTATTTTATTTAGGCATAGTCGAGCAGCTTGTCCAACAATAAGTAAGTCTAACATTAAGAAAATTTTATTCATTTGTTTTATATAGGTATCGCCGAACGAATGGTTCAACAAAAGTAAGTATACAATTTAAAATAAGATTATTTTTTATTTAATTTAGATATCGTCGAATGATTGGCTCAACAAAAGTAAAAGTAAATTTTGAAATAAAATTATCTTTTACTTTATTTAGATTCAATCGAACAACTTGCTCAAGAATAAGTAAGTCAAACATTTATAATAAAAAAAATTTTTCTTTTATTTAGAGTTGGCCGAGCAATTCATCCAACAGTAACTATTTCTGAACCCCTGGGAGCAGTATATGAAATGGTTTAGGAAATCAATATACCCTTTCTTATACCCTTGCAAGGGCTTAGGAAAGGGTTTAGGAAAATAATACACCCATTAAAGGTTTGTGATACGTTGCACTTTAATAAACCCTGAAAGGGTTTATTATTCTACGTTTGTTTTTTGCAGCGCAAGAGCGACACAGGATGTCATATTCATCATGGTAGGGAATAGTTTTCTTACTTTATGTGTATTCGAGGGTGTGGGTCTGGGTGGATTTTGGTTGATCTTTTCTTTATCCATACTCGCATTCACATCATTCAGTAGATGAAGTCTGATTGAAGAAAACGATCAGTTCAGGCTCTTACCTCAATTTTATCCTACGTCAATACAAAACATATTTCTGTCAACATAAACAGATATGTCAATTATACTTACCACACAATGATTCCCTATTCTACTCGTATGCTGTCATTTCAACTTCAGATATTTGCCAGAGAACCCTTCTTATACTCCTCGCCGCCCCCCTCCCCCTTCATGAATGCATACATCTCATCGAAACATGCCAAATAGGCAATTCTCACAAATATCTGTTACTTCGCAATTAGCTGTACTTTTTCATGCATTAATGCCATGTTTTATTGCCACACTTCGACATACAGAATCCAATTCTTCATTTAGTATGACCACTGAATACAGTCCCTTATGTTTATAGACATTTCTGGACGAAAAATGTCAATTTTAACGCTAAATTAACTTACGATCAAGACTCGGCTCCCTTTCAGCGAATTTCTTTGTGAGCGGTGGCAAGGTAGTTGCGAATGGTTGCTAACCTGAGCTCACGAAATCAATGATTAAGTTTTTCTCTTTCTCATAGTTTGCATCGTACATTAACAAACTGCTTTCTAATGAAAACAACTATTGACTGTATACTTCGTTGCCTCTTCGTTGTTCAGCGAAATTCAGTTGGAATAATAAAATTTTCACATTTCAAACAAGAAGTGAATGAATTCTCAATTTTAAGTGCAGAAACACTTGAGTTAGTCTAATTCGGTTACTTTTCTTTTTTTTTTCTCTATATGCTCATACCATGTTTACTTACACAAGCCTTTCTCCGATCTTAACAATAATATTTGTTACTTCGCATAAACAATATTTTTCTTCATCGAATGTATTGCACCATGAAGCAAATGGGTGGTGTGCTATTAGATTTTTTAGATTTGACTCTCATCTGGTATCGAAATTTTCCTTGCATGGGCCACATATCAACCAGAATAGTCAAAAAACTTTTTAATTATACCTACATTTGACCAGCTGTGAAAATTAACTGTCTGAATACCAGCGAATATTATTGGCAATACCACCCTAATCCCGACACCCACATCCAATTGTTCGAGCCCTTTTATGATACCTAAGAGAATTATGACACCCAGCAGCTAGCTGTGTCCTTCGTGCTACGATGCAGCTTTGATTTTTCCTAATGAGCACCATTTATGTGTGAGCACCAAGTAAAGGTCTTCTAATAAATGCCACAACCATCCACCCCCACCCCGACACTCTATCGATTTAAAAGTTGCAGATACAACCCAGAGCTAACTCTTAAATGTTTGCAAGTGAGAACCTCTAGATATCTTGTAAAACATTCCCAGGCCGAGCATTACGACAACTGGAACGACCGTAAACGACTAATCGTAGCTGTAATACGGTCGTAAGATTCAGTATCCGATCGTTTACTGCACGTTGAAAAACGACCGTTATACGGCGCATGATGTATAGGAGTAGGACAGATCTCAGATCCAGATATAGATCATATGAGCGAAAGAGCTGTTCGAAAAGATCTGTTCCGACAGTTCTTCTGATCTGATCTAAACTGTTTGAACAGAACAGATCAGACCATGAGATCTATTCGGACAGTTCTTTTGATCTGATCTGAGCGGTTTGCAAATATCTGTTCTAAGAACTGATCAATCTGAGGCCAGAAAGTAACCTCGGAGCGATTTAAATCTATTGTTCTGATTTACCTTCCAGTAGTCACTATATTTCGTAGATGTCTCTCGGGTGTAGGCATCCACCGAACCTGGGAACAGACCGGGATTTCCAGCTTTGGCCGTTCATGCCGGTGCAATCAATACTGAGTTTTGGCTCCATCCAAATCTTTCCTTCAATCCCGCACAGTTCCCTCGACTGCAGGGAAAATCTTAAGAAAAAAAATTTTTCTTTCGTGCTTCCATGCATGGACTATGGAACTCACGGACTGAGGCATCTCACGATATTCTAAGAAGGTTGACAAGAGTAAATCCGGGTCTGGGAACGGAATCCGAAGTCAGATTTTCAAAAGTTTCGAAATCTGTTTTTCCGGTGGAGGATGTGATCTTTTGAGAAAATTTTGATATTCCCTAGACCGAAGGGAGGGTCATACGAAAAAAGTGCTTTTGCGTGTGTGTCTGTCGGTTTGGGGCAGGTCAAAAAAATATTCATGAAAAGGGAGCTAATTTTCACTTTTTTCGCTGGCGTAGCTCAGCCAATCAGGTGTTTTCAAGTGTAGGCTTTCGACCAATAGGATTTCGCGGTGGCGTTGCTCAGCCAATCACGTGTGGGTGTGGAGTGTGGGTGTGTGAGTTAAGTAAGGACCCACACCCCACCCACCCACCCACGCCCACACCCACACCCTCAAGTTCGAAATTTGGAAAAAGTGATCACAGATGTGACTTCCGCGACCCCCTTTACCTTGGATCAAATTTTGAATGGTCTGTCTGATGAATCATCTGAATTCGTTTAATACGCTAGCGATCGGCCGGACATAACTCATTCTGCATATAAGTCGTCTTTCAGTAGCAGGGATATAAGGGCGATTTTTAAGTAAGTGCTTATAAGATACAACCCTCATCTGTAGGTAGGCCGTAGCAGGATTTGGAAGCCACCGCTAACGAGACCCTAACAAGCTATCGGGACTATTGGTATGTAGATAACGAGAAGATATTTGTATCCCTCTCTCTAGTTGATCTATTAGATCCGCACACATCTCATGATTTGATCTGTCATACCCCTAATGATGTACGATCGAAAAATTATGCAAAACGGGCGTTTACTACCGGCCTTGTTTGGCCTGAGATTGTATGCACATGGGTGTGTTCTTTCCATATAAGTTTACATCCACATTCCACATACAAGTAAAGATACTGGGTTGGAAAGAAAGTTTTGGCGTGTGGATGTAGCAATAAAGAATCTCACACTCTTCGCATGGATGTAAAACTCGTACAGTTGGATATTTTTAACTTTACGCTTATCCATGAGAAGGTTTACTCAACGACTGCTACAGTACTGTTATTTTTTGGAGAAGAACGATGAATCTTTAAAAATGTTTTGTATAATAACATTTATCAGCAGAAAGATTCCTATTCGTTTTTTGCTAGATATGTAAAAAACTAGACTATGTATTAATATTACACATATTCAATATTATTCAAAGACGATTTAATATTTTTTTAATTTGTTCTCAGGAAAAGACTTACTTCAGATCTACTTCCTTGTTAATCATTGAAGGAGGATGTGTACTTCACCAAACGTCTTTATCTTTTTTTTTATTATAAAGTTTGAATTTATTTATTCGATATACCAGTTTTAATAAAGATTTATATGGACATCAAATCTTTCAAGGTGATGATCAAATAACTATACGACCTACAGTGTTTTTTGCACTCAACTAAAATGTACAAAATACTATCGAAAAATTATTAGTCAAAGATTTGGCATGAACTCTAAACTTGAAACGTCTAAAGTCCAATATTTTTCATGTGTACGACCTTTTGAATCGATGATATAAGACAACTCGACAATAATATCTGAGAAGTAGTAAATAACAATGAGTAAGACAAGTACCTCACTGGTTAAATGCGCAAAGCGAAGAAACATTCGATAATTGGATGTACAAAATTGTAACGTTAGTTAAATAAAGCTGAAATTATACGCAAGATATTAATTCACTCGAAGGCCATTGACGATTCCGTGTCTAGTTAGACCAAAAATTGAATACTTAAGTT